TATGTATATATATATATATTTATTCGCACATGTAGATGTGCATATAATATATCTATGTCTCTATCCATTTATATACCTAGACTATATCTTTATCTATGTCTACATAGGTACCCATAGATCTGCATCTCAAAAACTGCTTCTATACGTATATCTAAAGTTGTGTTTCTATCTGTATCTATATGTATGCTTATGTCTGTGCGTATATCTATATCTATATCTGCATCTATATCTCTATCTATATCAATAGATCTCGGTCTGTCGGTCTGTCTGTCTGTCTGTTTGTCTGTCTGTTGGTCCGTCTGTCGGTCCGTCTGTCGTCTGTCTGTCCGTCCGTCCATCCATCCATCCAGCTAGCCATCCAGACATGCATCCGAGCTACCTTCCTGCCCACCTACCCTCCTACCTACTTAGCGACCGACCTACTTACCTACCTACCTGCCTATGTTTGGCTGTGCCCCAGAAGTGGTGCTCTTGCGCCGTAAACCCTTGCCTTTAAAGCCCCGAGACCCTACAATGCAAGCCCTATTTTCCTACAACCGGGCGCCCTTAAACCGAAAGACCTTACACCCTGAACCCCACAGCCTCAATCCCTACAACCCTAAACGTTAAGCCCTAAGCCCCAAAACCCTAAACCCCTAAACCCTACAACCGCTAAACCCGAAACCCCTAAACCCTAAGTTGAAACCCTAATCCCTGCAACCCTAAAGTCCTAAGCCCCTAAACCCCTAAACCCTAATCCTTACAACACCTACCGACCCACCAACCTACCTACCCACCTGCCTGCCTGCCTGCCTGCCTGCCAGCCTGCCTACCCACCTACCTATCTATACCTACCTGCTTGCTACCTACCTACCTGCTGCCTACCTACCTGCCTACCAACCGACCTACCTACCGACCTACCTACCTGCCTGCCTGCCTACCTACCTACCTACCTACCTACCTCTGTGTCTCTCTGTCTGTCCGTGTATTTGTCCACTTGTCTACTTATGTCTACTTGTCCATCTGTCCATCTGCCCACCGAAGACTAGCTGTCAGAACAGACGGAGGTGCCAGAGGCTTTCGGCATGCCGATGTGGGCGCTTGGAAGTGCGGGAGTTGCTGGGTGCTGCTGCTGCACGTGCTTCGGATGCGCTGAGCTGTGAGTGCTGCATGCCTGGAGTTGTGAGTCCTGACTCTCCATGCGTCTGATGCATATTCTGCAGGTTATGTGGCATATTCCTCGCGTATCGCTGCCTTCGAGCTTTGGCCAGGGCAATGCCTCCAGAGCCTTTCTCCGGAACGAAGCAGCTCAAGGACATGAAGGACATCGAGGCCTGGCGACGACACGGCACAACAGACTCACGAAGTTTGTTCTCTACTTCTCTCGGTCTTTGAGGCATCCTATACTGTCCAGCCTTCTCCTCAGACTGTGATGGCGCCTGCCCAAAGCTCAACGCTTACGAGTCCTTGGTCTCTCAAGCAAGGCCTGCAGTTCGGCCAATGAAGTCGAGGAAACGCACAGGCAGGAGCCGTCGCCACGCTCTTCTCATGTCGTTTATTGCATCTAGCTGTACTCGCATGGTTGCTAGCCTAACGCTGCGAGTTAACTTCAACGATGCCGAGCCGGGCTTCATGCGCCGACTGAGCACCTTCCGCACCAAATCCATAGCCACTGACGCGCCGCTGGCCTTATCTTGTCCTTCCCACGTGGACATACCGCATACTCTCCGGCTTGCAAGGCCATCGTGCTCGAAACTAAGGCAGTCTGAGGAAATGAACGTGGAAGAGACCAAGACCCATGTCGTCTGGAAGCTCAACAGACAAAGTTCTTATGCAGCGAACAACAGAAGACGTCTCACCCTTTCTTGCTTGTCACCCTGTGATCATGTCGGACTTCGAGGAATGTGGATATGTCGCAGCTCACGACCATGTTTCCGCAGACCACTTCCAAAAGCGACAGACAAGAGCAGGATGAGCGACTTGTTCTCAAACGTATCTTTGCAAGATTTTGCAAGGGCAACGCTCAGTTCCTCCTTGCTCCCAGCAACAAGACCCTGTGAGTTTCCTGCCAAAGTGTGGTAAGCTGGCATTCTCGAAGGGTTTTGGCAAAGAGAGGCCCCCGCCCCTTTGCGACTGTGACGACAGGCCAACAAGATCCCTGCGAGATGCTTCCAGTCCGAAGCGCAGCAATTCTCGTGACATTCAGCACGCCTCTTTCGCGCCTGGCCTGGGCTCTGACGAGCCGTCTGCCGAGAGTCCTTCTCACAGGCCGCTTGGTTGAACTTTTCGCCAGGATTCTGCCGTCATAGCCCTTCCACTGACTGGCGACTAGAGCTCCGGCCAAGGCAAACGTCGCCGGCAGCGATCTCAAGACAGCGCTCCGGCACACTGCTTGATCGCTTCGACCTCGTGGGCCCCACGGAGACAGACATCACCCTCGAGTGGTCAAAGCTGTGAGCAGTGGTGTAGCCAGGCTGAGACAGGAGCTGGCAGCCACAAATGTTCTTGCTTTCCTGTGTCTTAAAGTCTTAAAGCTTGAGGTCAGGTGTTTCAGCGCAGAGACGCAGGACCTGAAAGTTCGGTTTCACTTGAACCATACATTAATTTCCCGGCGACTGTAGATTCCTAACTTTGCAATCTCATGCAAACGAACTCGTTCTTAAGAGCATATCTTGTTTATCAACAGGCAAGATGCATCATTATGGTATAGTAGGGATGTAAAGTGTGCAATCGCGAGCAGGAGGGTGCCTTGCTTCAAAGGCAAAGGCATTATGCTCCCCCAGCTTTGCATGCATATTAGGCCGAGCAAGTTCGAGCTGTTCTTCGTTGTACCGCCAGTCCGCATCTGCGCTTCCACTGTACAGGTCCAGCTGCTCACCTAAGAGTGGGCTGGCCCAGCTTTACAAGCATTGTCTAGTGTGGCTGCTGGCAGAAGCGCTTCGATGCGTGGCAATTGCGCTAAGCATCGCACTCACGAGCAGTGTGCATGCCTTCCGGTCATAGGTGTCTTCTTTGGCTTTAAGCTGTGGACACATTCGTGGGCCTGGCTGTCTAGATGCAAGCCCTACTGCTACTGCGATGCGAGCATGCAGGATTTGAAAGAGCTTTCGGAGAATGTCAAAGGTGAGTTGTTTCGCATGCTCCGGAGCTTCTGGTAGGTGTTGCTTTTCCAATCGGCTCACGATGGCAGTTTCTTGGCATGGAGACTAGCGCTGGCCATCAGAATGAGCAAGCTCTCTTTGTGTTTACTGCCGCCATGCCAAGCATGTGCTGGCAAGAGTTAGTGCAACTGCATGGATGCGTGCAAGAAGTGCCCTACCTGCATCGTCCGTGCAAAAGATCGACGGTCTTTCTTTGTGATTCGCCAGGGCGTCAACAACCGATCTGACTGCAAGCTGTCTCTTGCATCTTTGCCCCAGGGAGCGGAGACCATCTCAAGGCCAGCAGCAAGTATCAGACGGGTGGTGGAAAATGGTTCGATTGCTGTTTAAGGGCTTTAGAGGAGCTCAAACGTGAGCCCTGGTTGAGGCATTCCGCAGCCGCCGTTGCTGCAGGATCCCTTCAGACCAGGCCAGCTGCAAAGCAACCTCCATTCAAGAGCTGGCTGGTTTTGCTGCCTGTGGCATCTGTGAGGATTTTTGGGCGATCGTCCCATTTGGTGGACGCTCGTCTTTTGGCAGGGTTTGCCTTTCCAGCCGTCGCTGGGACGTGGATGCAAAGGGGTGCTACATGAGGATGCCAGAAGGAGGCCTCCTGGGACCACGGCACCCTGCGTGGGGCCAGGCCGTCTCAGGGCTTTTGCTTTTCCCTTCTGGACAAGACCAGACGGGCAGGTGGCACCAGGCAGATCCGGAGGCATGATGCCAAGGCACGGCCGTGCAATGTGCAGCTCCCGACTCCTTTCGTAAACTCCCTCAGACTCAGATTTGATGTGATTGGGCCGGGCGAGCCGGATCCAGACCACTTCGTGTGCTCACCCGAGTCTGGTGAGTCTGGTGGCTAAAGTAAAGTACTGTACTGTATTGCTGCTCAGTGTGTTTTGCATCTCCGACGCTTCACTCAGAGGCCTGGTGGAGTTCCAGGATTCCCGGGTTCAGGAGGCAAGCGACGCAGTACGTGTTTGCAGAGTGTTGGCCGGCTTCACCAGGGCTTCCTACCTTCCACGGTGGACGGCCCGGCGGCAGAGGCAGTTCTACAGGGTGACTGTTGGCACCATCTCCAGCTGGGGGATTTTTGCCATTTGACTGCAGCAAACTTGTGTGAGCAGCTACGCCGCGAGGATCGGGGATGGACCCCGATGGAGTCTTCTTCATGTGAGAAGACCTGGCTGACTTCTCTGTGTGCCTGTAAACAGCAATTTCTTGTTGGACAGGCAGCCCGGATTAGGGATGATCGTGCCGCACGTGCCTCCTGACGTACAGCATGCCAGCGTGGCACAAAACTTGAGATCATGTCCGTGCCCGGTGTCCCTGTCCAGCTTGAAGCCATGGCAACCGAGACGCACAGAACGAGCACAGTACAGAACCGACTGAACCTGCTTTTGGGCTTACGGCTTACACTGCAGCCGTTTCATGTTCAAGACATTTTGCTTCTTTAGCTATGGCCTGCGACTCAGAGAAGCTGAGAAATGCTGAGAAGCACAGCAGGAGCAGAGAGCAGGTTCTTTGATGAAGCCCAGGCGGAGACCTGACCCTCAAGCTCGCAAACTGCCAATCTTTAAGGCCAGGATGGGCCAGGGATTGAGGGTGAGGAGTCTCTATACACTCGAGATCTTTCTGAGGGGTGAGTGGTTTTGGACCAGGACCTGGCAGTGAATGACGAGCACAGCAAGCTCTGTGCAGAGGGCTGAAAGACTGAGCTCGGAGTTCGGAGACGGCGCCTGCGCTGCGCATGTCTGTCCAACTGAGGTACAGGCTCGTCCATGCCCGACAGACTGTGGAGGCAGCCAAATTCACCACGCTGCTGAAGCAGGAGCATACCCTCCACTTTCTGAGAATCCCAAGGGAAGCAAGATACCACAGAGGGTTCTGTGCCGCAAGCAAGGAGACGTTGACGTTTGAAGAAGTTGACTTCTCTCAGTGCAATCTCACATCTGACACCTTGAAAGTGGTGCTGGGCTGACGAAGCAGCGTAGGTTTCCTGAGTTGCTTCCCTGTCTCAGATACATATTCATCCGGGCTGGCAAAGGTGCTTGAAATATGCAAGCGATGTCCAAAGTTGAAGGTACTCAAGCCTGCCCGACCTGTGGCTTACGTCGGCCGGGGCTTTAAGGAATAACCTGCGATAAGTGGCATTGCCTTTGGGCCGGTGCTTCTCCAAACCCCCCTTGCACCTGCCAGGCTTTTCAAAAACCAATTAGACGATTCAGGCGCAGAGGGCCCGGGGCCCTGAGATGCAAAGAGAGAGTGGCCCCCCGTGTAACACATGACACATCGAGAGACGACGAGCATCTCGTGCCCGAGGCCTCGCCGAAATGCTTGGCCGGAAACCTGCCATAGAGGAGCACGCGACGCGAGTCTTGGTGGTCGCTGGCTTCGTTGCTCTCGCCGTGTCAATGCTCCCCGGACCTTCTTGTCAGGAGGTTCACCTGTCCCACAACCTTTTCACAGCTGCTGGGTGCAGATGCCTGGTTGAAGCCTGCGTGCGACTCCCGGCATCTCCACCCCGCGATCCTGTGTGAATACCGCACAGCAGAAGCGGAAGAAGCACTGCGGTTAGTTCCTTGCATGCGGAAGGAGAGGGTTCGTCCCGAGAAATGCCAGCCTCTCTGGCTGAGACTGGGCTTGGAGCTCAGTCGCCGGTGAAGTCGCCGGCATAGGGGTGACGTGACACTCGGTGATGTGCAAAACCATTGCCTGAGAGCGTTGTATAGAACATGTTATTGCCAGTTATTGCATGCCGAGAACAAAACAACGTGGCGGATCCAGAGACGGTCTGCGACGAATTGGTGAGAGACTTTAGTGCCGGGGCCTCAGCACGCCTGCGGCGGCTGCAGCTGCTATCTTCATTACCGTCGATCCAAAGAGTAAGAGATTTCAGAAAACAGATCAGGACAAAGAAATGATATGACGAGAGGACACGCTGCAACACTTGAAGGCATCAAACTGTTGAACAAGGAAATGGCTTCCTGAGCCCAGCATCTATCAAATCTCCGGTAAAGGTAGTTAACATAAGAAACGTAGTTAAGAGCAGGATGACCTGGAATGTCAAATTTGGTCCCCAAAGCGAGTGATGTCGGTTTCGCCGGAAGATGGCAGCTGAGCGAGGTGTCGCATTCATTACAGATTGCTGCACGCACTGGGGCCTGCAATTCGGATGGATAAGTGGCTAACTAATCAATACCCTCGTCGATACCCCAATGGATGTAATGGATACCTACCAAGTCGTTTTGTGAACCACTGCCCATTTTGATTGAATCAAATGAACGATTGCTAACAGCACCTTTAGACCACTACGGCTACCACTATCATTGCATATAGGCAATAGCATGAAAATAAGCAGTACCATTACTATGATAATTTCGATCGTGATTACTCTTACTGCTAGTGTTGCTGTTATAGGGTTTGCTACTCTAGGACCCCCAAACCAGCCGCAGTTACGCTACAAACAATAAGTTTTGTCCAGCGTTAAATTCCTAGTGGTACATGTCTTCCGGCTTGTCGTCAGAGTTTTCACGGGTTTCTAGTCTTATCCAATTGTGCAGGTTTGTTGAAGATAGATTTGTCATATGAGGCAGCTCACAGACAAGATCTCTGATGTTACTCGTGATTGCCCTAGTTTGCTTCTCCAAATCTGTGCCATGATTATGTCAGCACAGGGCACAGGGTATTTGGGGCTTGGAAATCAACGCTGTTTCGACTGCTCGACTCGAATACGACGAGAACTGCTACTACTGATGCTGCAACCACTACTGCTACTACTGCCACTCCTACTGCTTCTGTAACAACAGCTGCTGCTGCTGCTACTACTACTACTACTACTCCTCCTACTCCTGCTTCTTCTCCTCCTCCTGCTGCTGCTGCTCCTGCTAGTACTATTTTCTATTACTGCTGCTACTGCTACTATTAGTACTACTGCTGCTACTACTACTACTACTACTACTACTACTACTACTTTTACTATTACTACT